CCCCCCCCCCCCCACCATTTTGACTAATGACTGTTCCTAAATTTAACATGACATTTTCATTCCTCGCATTGGGTAACGCGTTTACGTGTTTTCTAATTCCACACCGTTGTGAGTTGACTCCTTCCTCCTGTCACTGTTCCTGATTCTAACAATGTAATGCTTTGTTTCAGGCGATAATTGGCTCCTACTTCCCACTGTCATCCTCGCAGATGCTGAGTATACTGCCACTAAACACCAACTCGCTGCAAACTGCCATCATTATCAGCCTGCTGACAAAGCCTACTTGACAGCACAAAAATACGGCGGCAGCGCCGAGGAAAACAACACATGCCTGTGAAATATTTCAGAAATGATACAAAAAAGAGAAAAAAGAAAAATCCCCCGGAATATTTTATCCCCCCCCTGGAATATTTTATCATGAATTTCCACCCCACTGGATTTGCGCACAACAAAGTTATTTCCTCTTCTAGAGATCTGAGATCAGCCCAATATATATGCGTGGACTGGCGTGCCATTGGGAATGCATAGTCTTCTCTCACCTGTCTCAGGTGATGGAGGAGAAAGAAGAAAACAAATTATCACTTTTTTTTGCAGCCTTTCTTGGTGCGTTGTCAGTGTTTCAGTAACCATGGTGAAGTCTGGAAGGGTTGTCAGGAACTACAGCTGTAATCACCTTCCCCTGGCGGTGGCGTTGGATTGGAGACTCGCAAGACTTACCTTGGCAGAATGAACAAAGAGTGCAGAAGGCCCAAGGACGCCCCACTGTGTCGTCTAATTCTTTTGCTGCAGTGACACAATGATGTTTGGTCTGTCGGGCTCCTTTTCCTGCTCCTCCCAAATCAGTTAAAGTGAAAGAAAAAAAACAGCGGAGGTTGGATAAATGATCATAAGGGACAAAAAGGTTGTTTTTGTTTTTGTTTTTTAATCAGCAGGAATAACATTAACAGAACCTTTTAGAACTTTTAGGAGATAAAGGTTGGGTTTTTAACGCTGGCTCGAATGAGCTACCGTCAAGGAAGTTGACCTAAATTTCAGTGATCCAGAGGCAAATGAGCTTCTTGCTTTAATGTACTTTCCAAGACAAAATTGTGGATGGAAGGAAAACATGCTGTCACTGTCAGGCTTGTCAAACGTCTTCTTAGCCAGGTGACGTTACTTAAAACTATGAAAATGACAATGAAGCAGCAAAAAAGTCAAACCGAGTCTGAGGGTTGCACCAACTTCCTGTTTGGTGGTAAACTTTCGCAGAGGACAGCAACATCGAACCGGTTCTGTAGTGTTTGGTTCCAACAGCCTAAAGGCTCTAATCTGTCATCAGAGGCACCTTGAAGCTGATGAGGTCAGCAAGGTTAAAGTTCAGAAGCATCCAGTTAGGGCTGTCGCGTTTTATCTACGTTGTTTTGCAGAGGATGTAGCTACCAAAAAGCAGGTAACATGAATTTTGCCGAGTTCCTGCATGAGGTGTGATAGTTTTGTGTTCATTTGCAGGACGACAGATTTCAAAGTCAGATTCAGGATTTCTTTGAGCAAATCTGAAGTGGTGACATCAAATCTCTGTGGATGACTTTGCTAAAATACGACAAGTGAAATTTCCGATCAGCTTTCATCCAAACATTCACTATTTTTTTTTGTTGTTAAACTAATCTGTGATAGATCCCCACACTGACCAATTTTTAAAGCTCTACGTCAGATTAGCAATGGGACTGCAGTACTATTAATTCACAAATAGCTTTACAGGCCTGGATGAGTGAGCAAAATGTCACGGGTTAGGAGGAACATTCAAGACTTTAGAAGGTTGTGCAAATGAGATAATAAAGGTGACAACTGCAAATTAATGTGACTTTGGGCTTGTCTCCTTCTAGGCTTGAAAGCACATTTTCTTTTCATATCCAAAGTTTAACATTTTAACTCACACAAATAGAAGCAGTAAAAGTGGTTGTCACGCTAACAAAGAGTCTCAACAATACATCCCCAAAAACCCCATTACAGAATTTTTAAGAGCACAAAGACACTTTTCTCAACATTATGCAGCTTCAGAATACAAAAATATTTAAGCTCTGACTTTTACTTCAGATTCAGTGACAGGAGGCTTACAGGGAGCTAAATGTGTGTGTTTTTAAAATTTTCTTATACTCCCACCTGCTTGAGAACGGTCGCTCAGGCAAGGTGCTACAGGCATTGCTGGAATGTAAAGCCTGTGCTGTTCCTTGCAGATATACAAACTTATGCTTTCATGCCCAGCCCCATCAAAATGGCCCCGTTATAGGCTGCTATCTCCTGGGACTCGCTTCTGCACTGCAGAAGGATTAAAAGCTTTTTATGAAGCATTTTTCCCCAGCCAAAGGTGTCTGCAGGAGCAGTGTGTGTATCATTTTTGCAGAACAACGGTTGAATTGACTGCATATAGCGTGCTGGCACAGGATGGAATACCTGCATCCATTGTGGTGAATTCATTTACTGCCCTAAAGAGATCGTTATTTTTCTGCAGGCTGAAAGAAAAAAAAAAAAAAGACATTTTCCCTAATGCATTGAAAATCTAGTACATTTTTCCTGTTCTGCTGTTCTTTCTCCACCGGGCTGCATTGGTAAAAAGTTACATGTGGTCGTTAGTTCACAATCTGTGACAATTAACAATCCCTTTGTCCCCCTGTGTGATGAATTGCATATTAAAACGGGCCATTTGTTAGAGGCTTATCTTTCGGGCCGATGTTAGGAAAGGCTGAATTATTCATTATCAGACGATGCTGGAAAGGAGTGGAAGACAAAGATTACGTCTTCAGATATGCTATCTCACACCGGGGTGTATTTGCATGTAGCCCACCCCCAGGACATTGGTAAATGCTTGGCGTCTAATCACAGTGTTCTTAAGGGATCTACAGATGTTCCTGAGAGATATGTTCGGTCCAAAAGTGATAATGTCATGTTTCACAAAGACAAGTTAGAGTTAAAGGCAAGTTGTTTTTTTAACTTATAGCTATAAAAAAAATTTTTAAAAAGTGAAAAAAAACTTTTGGCACATTTTGGAAACAAAGCAAACCGTTTCAAGGGGTGAATAAATGTAAAATTGTCACAATATTCTGACAAAATCTTAAACCATGCTTCATTTATTTACAGATAAAGGCAAAATTACTCATACCCCTGTCATGAGTTGCGGTTGATGGTGGTGAGGAGAGACGCAGCGAACCCAGGTTATGGTGAAAATAATGAATTTAATGATGAAGCTCTCAGTCCAAAAACAGGCAGCACGGCAGAAAGACAGGCACACAGCCAAATACCGGTAGCAACTGATACACAGGACAAAAACGAGAGCTAACGCTATCCAGGACTTTACAGTTCTACTGGAGCGGAAACAAGACGTGACTTAGACACAACGAACTTAGACACAGATTAACGACAAGGACCCGACGAAGAACACAGACACAGGTGGGCTTAAATACACATGGTGGGTAATCAGGCAAGTAGACACCCCTGGGAGACAATCAACGGGGAGGACAGGACAGAGACTCACAGGGAAACAGGAACACATTGAAAAACTCAAAAACACACAGAAAACCACGGATCATGACAGTACCCCCCCCTGACAGATTCAAAATACAAAACATTTTTATTCCATCAAGAATTTTGTTTCTGAAAGTGAGTCAGGCATCTTGATATTTCACAGCTTGGTGTGCTGGGTGACACAGTCGGTTGTTGGCCTCAGTTGGTTTTGCCGTTCCTTTTTCTGTCTGGCCATGTGATTAGAAAGCCGGGTAGCGAGAGTCGGGGTTATGATTCCTGCCTGTTATGGTCAGTGAAAGAGACGGTTTGGACTTCCTGTTTCTTTCTCTGCTCTTTGATTTTGCTCTTCATCAGTGCCGCCTTTTTTCAAGCAACTCTGAGCTCTGGGGCGGTTGGTCAGGAATTATTTGATTTTTATACATGCAATGTGTAATTTCAGTCAAAATTACACTGTTGCCATGGTCACACATCAAAACAACTGTCCAAAAGTTTCAAAGAAAAAAGGGTAAAAGCAAGAATTGTTCCATCTGCACAACATCCAAAGCATAAGCGGGGCAGTTCTTATAAAAGCAATGTGAAAGAAGTATTAGCTTTTAAAAATATGTATTTTATGTGTTTATGTGCAGTTATTAAAGTTATGACAAAGTGTGTTTCTCAATATTCAATGAATAAATCATTATTGTTACATTACAACATCTAAACCCTTCTTATAACTGTTAAGCAGCTTTTGGAACTTTTCATCCATTTGCAAAACTAGCATATGGATGTTTGCAGACATGTCAGTCTTTTAAATGTTAGTCTCCAGATCTACGAATTTGGTAGAAAAATACTCAAAAAGAATTGTGGCTGTATTGTGGTGGCTGGTTCTACAAAATACCACTTTAGGGGGACTGAATACAAATGCAGGCCACACTTTTCAGATTGTATTCCCCAAAGAAGTAAAGTTAAATTACCATTATATGCATTATACCTTCTACTGTGCAATCACATAAAAAACACAAAATCCATAACAATTGTTATGTCGTTTGGGCTTTATGTATGGATACACTGCATATGTAAAAAACAACAACAACAATTTAACATTACATTAACTTCCTATTTTTTTAGTTGAATTCAAGTACAGGTAGCTTCTATATATACCCTGTTTCTTAAAACAGAATTTTCTTATTTTGTCTTGAATTTGAAAGCAAAAATTTTTTAGAGCATTGTATTTACAATAAGCCTTTAGTAAAATAACTGTAATCCTATTAAAAGTTCAAAGAGAAAAGAGAAGTGATTAAAAATTCAGAGGTGGTCTTAACTTTTGCTCTGGTTTGAGATGAAAACACTGATGCAAAAAATGTTCCTGTTTAGATGATTCCAAGATTGTTACTGTTTCATGAAATCATATATCCACTCTCCGTTTGTATTTCACCTCATCGCCGTGTTTATGAAAGTGCTGTCCGTGGTGCTGATTCGTGTGACCGTTCTTTGTGAAAGTGCTGCCATCCAGCGGTTGTCAATGAAAGGTGCGTTCAGGAACAAAAGTGTTTGTTCCTACCCGAGCCACAAAAACGGTTGCGCCGTCAGTGAGGTTTGCTAACATTGCTCATTTCAGTTTTGGTAAGTCTATCTCTTTTTTAGTCTTGACGATTAAACTAAATTATATGTAGAAGCATAAAATCTTTTCTTTTTTATAAATAGTTCCAGGGTTGAAACAATTCGCGGTGTTTAAGTAATACTTGGCGCAGCAGACGCTTTGTCGTACCGACAGTTGCTAACCTACGAATGTCCTTCGCAGCATAAAGTTAATTGTAATCTCTGTCACAACTAGCAAAGTTTGTATTTGAAGTCTTTATTGTTAAACTGTACGCTTAAATACCTAATTCACCGTATAATACACCTGACGTAAGATGAGTTTAACGACCAAATCACGCTCTAATGATGCACATCTAATCTAACTTTACTGATTTCTGTTTTCTTTCTGTGTCGGATCTGCTGCTTTTTCGCCGGATGTACTTCCAGCCAATGGACTGACATCAGCCAGCACTGATGCTGCTGAAGGATCTGCCCAGAGACGCCCTGCTGCGGCCCCTGTCCAGGAATGAAGTGATTGGCATGTTGGTGAGGCTGAGCATCTTTGGTGCTGCCACATACTACAGCATCAAATGGGTGGTGGAGGCGATGGACCCCACCTCTAAGCAGAAAAGCCAGGCCAAAAAACGGGTATGTCAGTCCTGTGGTGCCAGACGCACGAGATAAGGATGTGTAAAAAGCCTAAAGATGAGTAGTCACTGTGATTTTTTTTTTAAATTCAAATGTTAAATTTAGGTTCATTTATGCAGTGGTTAACAGTAAGGATATGATTTTCTACGTATTCACCCTTTCTTTCACTACAATCCCACAAAGTGTTTGTTTCTTGTTCAATCTTATTCTCATCTTCTCGTCTCGTACGTCTTTACCAGAGGTGCCAATAGCTACAACAGTGTGACTGTTTGGCTGTAACCTTGACAACGCACCATATACTGTCAACTCTGGATCCTGTTGTCTTTATCTGACTTGCATATCCTAACTCCAGGCAGAGGAGCAGATGAGGCGAATAGGCTTGGAGGGCATCACACTGACTGAGTATGAGATGAACATTGCATCCCTTTTAGTCGATCCCCAAACTATCAAGGTAAAGTTCTCCTTCTGTTTCCGTATTGCAGGGATTATTGAAGCCATATATTTATTTATCATTGTGCTTTTCCTGACTCTGTTGTTTTTTTTGCAGGTGTCTTGGAGAGATATAGCTGGTCTGGATGAGATCATTAATGAGCTGCAGGACACCGTTATACTACCGTTTCAGAAAAGACACCTTTTACCCAACTCTAAACTCTTCCAGCCTCCTAAAGGTAACTCAGAGTACATTTAAAATAATAATAAGTATATTCCAGGGTCACCAAATGGCTCAGTGGTAGAGCAGGCGCACCATATGCAGAGCCTGCAGTCCTCAAAGCATTTGATTCCCGTTCGATTCCCATAGCCGGTGCGATTAGCTTCTCTCTCCACCCCCGTTTCTGTCCAGCTGTTAATGAATGAAGCCCACTACTGTCACACAAACACTTATTCTAATGCATATAACTTGCTATGATAAAACCAGATAGAATTAGTTTTATTATTGATTTTATCCTCAGTCTGCTTGCAAAGCACAGAGTCCAATCCCAAGTACTCTACACCTCAAACTACCATTTTCTATGGAAAGATTTAAAGTAGTAGCCATCTTCTCAGCAAACTTTGTTAGTTTTATCAAGTTAATAAGGATTTGAAAAGTGGAAAAGCTGCTTAAAACACTTTTCTTCATAACGTAGAACAATAGATGTTCAGCATTTACTTCTCAAGTATTTCTGGTCACTCAGCTCAGAGTAGATATGCGGTCACAAAAAAACATTCTCCGAGTTCCTTTAGGGCCCCGTTTACACGACAACGATTTTGGGTGAAAACGGAAGAGTTTTGTTGCGTTTGTACTGTACATTTACACGAAACCACCGAATGTTTTCTCTGACAACGGCACAGATTGAAAACGGGTTCCAGAGTGCGATGTTTCTGAAACGTACCAATGTCCGTTGTTGTGTAAACAGAGAAAATGGATCTTTTCTTCCAGAGAATCCCCAGCTCATGCATAGTATGACGCAAAACATAGCTGCTTCCTACAATCCACAGAAGAAGAAGAAACTACTCACAATGCTGGTGTTACTACAATTCGTGTTTCCCCATCAGATACGGTTCCCTCAGCGTCTCTTTACCGCTCTGCTCCGCCCAGGTGGCAAAATGCACGGCTGCTTGTTCAGCGCTCTTATCTAGAGAACTACGGACCAGCCCCGGCTCCAGACGAGTTTAACAAGGGGGGCATCGACTTATTTTGGGGGGGCAAAATGAGTCTAAGTAGTTGAATATAGAGAACAACATCAGTAGCCTACAGGCTACTTGTTAACAAGCTTAAGGTGCTGTATCGATATTAGCTAGTGATTGTTTAGCTATCATTACCTGCATCCAGCAGCTTTACTCAACTCAGTCGGTTAGTTTGGAGGGAAAAACTGTGAAAAGTTCTTTGCGTTTTGCTGGTTTGCTGCCGTGATTCTAACACACACCTGCGCAGCAGCAGCAGGTCTCCTTCGCTGCCTCACAGGTGTAAACCCAGCGCGAGCGTCTCAGCATTAATGTTGCGTTTGAAGGCGGCTCGGAAAAACAGGTTATGACTTGTTAGCAACGGATTAAACTGTTTTAACTGCTGAAAAAGGTGACAGAGGACACAGATATAGGAAGTGCGGAAGCTCCTATTGTGTTAAATTGATATAGGAATAACAGACTGTTGGCCATTCCAAGGTAGAAACAATAAACAGCTTTCAGTCCGGGGGAGGGGGGGGATCAGTGTCTCCCAATGGCCGCCCACGGACACCGTGAAAGCTCGAACAAGGTGTTTCAGCAAAGTTATCCCACTTTTTTCAACTGCTTGTGCCCTAATCAGACGCACATAGTGCATGTTTTCTCCCAGTCTATGGTACCTGATGGGGAAGCGCGAATCCAGATGCCTTCAATTTCTTCAGTTTCAACGAACCTAGCACCAACTGGGCTTGGCAAGAGCATTACACGTTTTCGATGTGTAACTGTGTAAACAAAGATTAATTAGAACGTTTTCATTTAGATGATCCAACAAAAACGGAACAAAAATTCCGTTTTTGTTGGATCATTGTCGTGTAAACGCCCCCTTAGATGTTCAAAATAATAATAATTAAGTTATTTGAATTCCTTTCATAAACCTTCTGAGTCAGTCAGCTTAATGTCAAATGACCAGATTCATCCATGTGACGTTGTGACGACTGTGCCTGAATTGTAGAGAGAGGTGTGTGGAGTTATTTCACTGTTTGGTACAGCGAGCCCCAGGATGGCTCAAGCTCTAAATTTAGCTGCTGCGGAAATCTAGTTCAATCCTTCAACTGATTTTTATTTATTTATTTTTTCTCCTCTCTGATTTATCTTTTGTTGTTTACAGGTGTTTTATTGTTTGGTCCTCCGGGATGTGGGAAGACCATGATCGCCAAGGCAACAGCCAAAGCCTCAGGCTGCAAGTTTATCAACCTGCAGGCCTCCACGCTGACAGACATGTGGTACGGGGAGTCGCAGAAACTGACCGCCGCCGTCTTCTCGCTGGCCATCAAAATCCAGCCATGTATTATCTTTATCGACGAGATCGGTGAGTTGTACGTCGCTTTGTTACGTTCAGATCAGTGAGATCATTAGCGGAGCTAAAGAAGAAAGTCGATTTCTTTTCCATTTTGCACTTGATACTTCACATTTTGTAGCTGCAATGCAAAAACACATAATCTTACCAAATGTATTTGTCTAGTTTCTAGTGAAAATATCTTATTAGACTTGAAACAAGACAAAAGTAATTTACAACTAAGTTTTCAGCAAGATGTATGGGCTTGTTTTAAGTAAATAATTCCGATTATTGATGAAAAAGTGCATGTTCTGCTGACAGATTATTTTTACTTATATGCTGGCAATAATGTCTTGTGGTAATTAAAATAATCTGCAAAGTAGTTTTTCATCAATATTAAGGAATTATTTTCTCAAAACAAGCTCCTATAGCCATCTTAAAAGTTACTCAAGTTATTCTAATCTTATTTCTAGATATTTGGACTAGAAACTAAATCAAAAATACTTGGTAAGGTATTTGGTACTTTATTTGGTACTTGGTACTTTTGCAGTGTTAATTCACTGAGTTTTACTGAATTGAATCTGTGTCTCGTCTTTTAGAGTCATTTCTAAGAAACCGCTCCAGTCTGGACCACGAGGCCACAGCCATGATGAAGGCCCAGTTCATGAGCCTGTGGGATGGGCTCGACACTTCTTTAACCACCCAGGTAAAGTCAAACGTCCCCAGTTTGCCGAAGCATCGTCTGTGTTAAAGGCACAATGTGTGAATGAGCGGCTGTGGCTCTGTGGGACTGCAGGTGATGGTGATGGGAGCCACCAACAGGCCGCAGGATGTGGATCCGGCGATTCTGCGAAGGATGCCTGCCACGTTTCATGTCGGCCTGCCGGTCGGTATACACACACGCTTATTATTTATCATGATAAATTTCTTATCGTGATAAGAATTTTGATTTATTGTTGTCACGATAAATTCTAATTAATAATGTTTACGACCCTGCAAAGCTGTCCTTGACATTTTTTTTTCCTACTGTTCAATGAAAGCAACAATAAATTAATACCGCTAAATATGAAAATACAGTTGTCGTGCGCAATTTAGTGATAGAAATCACACTTTTTCATGTGACTGGTGTCCTAAAGTAACACATTGCAATGCGGGAATGTCTTTCAAAAGTAGCATTTGTGTTCGTGTGGGTATAATTGATGTGACGATGATTGCTGTCAAGATGTTCTTTTAGTCAAATTGCGTGAATATTCTGCTAATATTATTATATTCTTGTAAATAAACAAAGTGTTCATGCAGCCAGGCCCTAATATTCAGTCGTACAAGTCATGTAAGGGATGATTGAAATAAAAGCCTGTTTGTACATATATTTTCTGTCAGTTTGACTTTCTGTTTAAGACAAGAACATGACAAAAAAAAACTCTGTTGAAATCAGAACTGGTATGGAAAAAAAAATTGAGATTGTATCTTTAAGCCATATCGCTGAGCCCTCATTTCTACTTTATTTACTAGATAGGGACTTCTTTTAGGGGTATGAGAGTAAAGGGGACTGAATACTGCATCCATAGTTTTCAGGGGTCTTTTTTTACTGTGGAGTAAAATGATCATTATGCTTCTATCTACCTATTATGTTCTACCTTGTGTTTGCAATTCTAATCACGTACAATTTGAAGTTTGTTCTTATAACTTGACAAATACAGGAAAAGTTTAGGCTGTTAAAATACTTTTGCTTGACAATGTATACTTTGATGATTTATTTGTTTAGTTCAATATTCTCAGTATAACCCAAAGCTGGCATTGTGGCATCTGTCTTTGCAGAACGCAAAGCAGAGAGAAGACATCCTCCGGCTGATTTTAGCAGGAGAAAATGTGAGTTGTGATTTTTTTTTTTTTTTTCCTCAACATGCCAGTCTCTCCAGTCACTTTGTCACAGCTCTATTTTCTTTTCCAGTCACTCTATGAAAATAAAAATAAATCACATCAGACTTTATAGCCTTCTGTTTTTTCACAGACAGACACAAACGTAGCCTCAGGACGGCCGAGTGACAAACGGGGTGTGATTTTTTTCACAGCAGCGTTTTTCCTTCTGTCCCACACAGCTGAGCAACGCCATAAATCTGAGGGAGATTGCCGAGAAGACCGACGGATACTCGGGCAGCGACCTCCGAGAGCTCTGCCGCGACGCCGCCATGTACCGGGTCAGGGATTTCGTCCGCAAGGAGCAGATCAGGCAGATTGCGCAGCAGCTGCAGAGCTACGAGGAGGAGGAAGGGTAGGTCTCACACCTGCACTTAACGTGTCATAACGATGCATACCAACGGTCATGTGATTCACTTGTTGCAGTCGTGTGATTCAGATTTTGTAACAAAACATGCTTAAGGTTAACTGGTGTCTTCAAAGTGTGCTAAAAGCCGTGAGAAAGTAACAGTAGAGCTGAAAAGTACAAAATCAAGATTTCTCCCTCTTTTGGCTCAGAAAAGAACTACACCTGTGACAGGACTGGGTTAGTTTTCTTCATTTCAACCACTTGTAAAAATGGACAATAATAAAAAAAAAAATTGTAATATGTAGATTAGCAGTCCAGCAGGAGCAACTAATTATCCTCTCCACTCTGTTAACTCCACTTTCATTCACTCTTCCTGCTGCTGACAGTTTGAACCTGCCTTTCAATTAGAGGAAGCTGAATTTCATGTCGATAAATTACCGCTGGCTAGTTTTTCTTTTGATTTGTTTGTCACGTTTACGTGGAAAACATTTCAAAGCAAACTACTGCAGTGTGGTGGAGACGTTAGAATACAGGAAGCCCCTCCCACACGCCAATGAATGAAAAGGACAGACGGATCTGCTTCCTCGGCGCGTTGCTGTCATTTTTGCACGACCCGCAAAGCTGAAGATATTTATGACCTGAAATGTATGACATTTGAGTAAATGAGGAGTTGTGAAGTAGCAGGTGAAATGGGATGATTTATAAAAACAGATATAGTGAACCTGTGTAATTGTTAGAATTTATTTTTATCATTAGAGCATAACTGTAGCAAATCCACACAAAAAAACACAGCTACACCACAAGCAAACCATCAGTTATCTGGGTTTTAAAACCACTGGCCTGGAATAAATTAAAGTACAATGAGGGAGAAAATAGCTAGTTTATTTCAATATATAGCACATAATAGGGGTTTGCAATATTATTTAATAATGATGAAGATTATGAAAAAAAAACCCCCAACAAATTATTACTTATTTTTTAGGAAACCTTATGGCTGGCACAAATATTGTTCCTGAAAACCATTTGCATTTGAAATAGACTTTTCAGGACAATTAACTTAAAGACCAGCGATTTACATCTCTAAACTGCAGAAGTTACTGAATGTACTGATACTTATTTTATGCTGTTGTGGAACAAACAAGTGGAGAAAATAAACAAAGTAGCTTTTCCAATACTGCTGTTTTTTTTATTGTTTCATTTTTATTTACCATCAATTTGAAATGTATCATGACAATAAATCAAAATTCTTAAAGAATAGAAAGTGTTCACGATAAATGATCAACGATACGATGCGATAAATTGAAATTGTATGAAAATACGACACGATGAAATATGGATGAAATATTTGAACAAAGACCTAAAATTACGTTTTACTTAAGAAAAAAATAATTTTCACATTGCACAGTCAAATCTGATTTAATCAAATGTGAACGTTAAATGTCAACGCAAATACTGTACAAGGTTATAAAAGTGGTCAGTACTGTAATACACAACATGCTTTGTTTTTAATATCAGTATTAATTGTAAGCATTAACCCTTGTGTCTACAGATGGGGTCCAACTGACCCCACACATGTAAAACTTGTACCATTTGCCTCAGTCCTCGCACGCACAAGGGTTAAGTCACAGGATTAAAATATATTTATTCAAATTTAAAGATACAGATTCTCTAAAAGATTCAGAGTTAAAAGCTGTGAAAACAAAAGCAACCAGTCTGTAGCGTTGTACTCCAGTGGAGGGCAGCCTGAGCTCTCGGCAGCAACACCGGCTTGTTGTTCAGCTGTTTCCAGTGAGGCAGACACTTATTACAAGAGCTTATTTAAAAACGGCTCTAAACCTTTCAGAACAGCACTGCTGTAATCTCTGTGTGAAACAGTTTTTACCACCTGGACAGAAAACACTCATATCAAGCCTGTCGAAGCTACTTTTTGAAGTGATTCTCAATAGTGGAGGCCTACTGGTTCCTAAGTTCTTTATTTATTTTTTCACACCGAACCATGGCTTTAGATATGGTCTTAAACTTTCGATCAACTGATAACACTCAGTTTGAATTAAAAACCAGTTGAACAAAATTGAAATTGAAAAGACCATTCTATTGCTACATTGCATTTACCTTTGTTTTCCCTCATGTTTAAGATTCTGATTGGGGATGTAAGTATATAAGTTTGTAGTCCATAGAATATGAAGATCTAAAGTCAGGAAGGCTGAACGTTTTTAGTTTCCTGTTCATTTAAAAGCAAATGAAATGTAGTTTCTTTTTAGTACTTTATATTTCATAAACAATGTTTTTTTGTGGTTTGCTAGAAAAATATCTTTGTTATATATTTAATGTAATTTAGAGTTATTTAACATAAGATTAATGAATAAATTAATGCTGTTGGTTTTTGCTATATAAAAAGGTCCTGTGTTATTATAGAAATAAAAGTTAAGTTGGTGTCTTAAAGTACTTTTTTATGTCTTTTTTTAGATTTATTTTTTTGGCACAGTTACCAGACAGGACCAATCAGAGTAGGCAGGGTAGGTTGCCATGGTTTCTGACTTTTTTCTGCTCGCATTGCCAGCTTCAGTCTGGTTCCACCATTGATAACGTCTTCTTGTTTTATTATCTGCCACATTAGCTGCTCATTCCTTTACCTCTGAGTGGATGAGGTGCTGGTCATTTCACCTCTTCATACCTGTTGGAGTTTCTATCAATAACAACCAAAAATGTTTTTTGACCTCTTGTTAATAAGCCACCGTTCTCCATATGTTTTTGTCTCGGTGGAAAAACAGACCTGATGCAGAAGGGACTAAAAAAGGTGCAAAAGATTAAGCTGTGATTTTTGTTAGACTAAATAAATGTGAAGTTTAAATCCAGCTGAAAGTGTATTCTTCGATTGACAGATTTTCAGACTGATTAAAGATTGAGACTAGTTGATATTAGCAGATCTCAGCTCAGTGAACAGCAGAGGGAAAATGCTGAACGCTCACATCAGTGACAAAAACATTAATATCCTTGTTTAAGAGAGAATAAAATCAACCATGAGTTGGTAACGTTGCCATCATCGCTGTTGTTGGTTTTCTGCACTCAGTAAGTTTTTGTTTTTCATTAATATTTTTCATTAATGCTTCCATTAAAATGGTGACTTGACTGCCTACAAACAAAACATCAACATCACACAGTTCTGGAAGCCATTAAGCCAAATGGGCCTGGTTGACTTTGCAAGCGGCTTTTATAAGATCTTATTTGTGTAACTCATTTCTGCGCTGTTGCTAAGCAACCACTGAAATCCCCTGATGAAGAAATACATTATCGCTGAAGAAAAAAAATACTATTTTTCTTTTCAGAGCTCCATACATAGAGCGTTCCATTATGGCAGCAAGAAGCTTGTGTCAGATGAGCATTCACAGAAAACGGCCCATGCTCTGCACACACAGACGGCTCTGATGTAGATAATGTATTCCTCATTACACACAGTGGTACCACAGACTTTCACATTTACAAGTTAGTTTGCTTTATTAACACAATTATTTGCAATTAGAACATTTATCGAACATGTAATTTTCTAGAGAACATGAAACATGGCTACAAGAAAGATGTAATTTAACTAAAACTAATAAGAATTTGTGTTTGCAGTTTGTGCAAAACTATGTTGGGGACACAGCATGGAAGAAAATGCTCATTGTGGCAGAAAACTAACACCATACATAACCTTAACGGACACCTCCATGGCAAAACATAGTGGTAGTTTTTTTTTTAACAGTGAAACCTGCAATAAATTGTAAAACAATGAATCATATTTATGCGTTAGAATGGCCTAGTTAAAGTCTAGACCTAAATCTAAACTATTAACCCTGGCAAGACCTGAAAAATGTTCATAGACAGCACACAGCTGTGACTTTTAACTATTTTAAAAAGAAGATTCTGATAAAAAAAAAATTAAAAATGTTTTTAGACATGTAAAGCTGGTAGATGCACATTTACTAAAAAAAAAAAAAAAACTGGAGTTTTAACTGGAGAGTAAATGGAACAAATAAATGCCACATTTTGGAAATTTTACTTTTTTATTTTGACACTATGTAGTATTTTTTTTAATCCACTGATATGAAAAGAAAAATTAAACTGATACCGCTATCCGATATTTACACATATATATCTTTTCAACCCCTTAAAAAAAAAAACCACCTACACCATGAACGTTGCCGATAATCCCACAGTTCTTTGCTGCATTACCAAACATACCACATGACTGCCCTCAACCCCCCGATGCCCTTTCCAGGAACACAAACGGCAACAAGACAGAAATAACCATCAGTTATTAGAACCTGGCTCGGACAGAGCGATACCAGTATGTTTAGAAATGGCCGATACCGATGTTAACGCCGATAAATCGCGCATCGCTAATGATTGTCTTTCAATTCTTCTGTTATTTGCTGCTTTGTGTGGCCTGTAAGTCCCTGTAAATCGCCTTTAAGGTTGTTGTAATTTGTGACTTGCCATAAAAAATAAAAATTATTATTTAAACTGTTGTTTGTTTTATTGTATGCAGAAGATCTCAGACCTTCACACTTTCTCCATTTCAGGCCCGTCAACGAGGATCGGTTACGGCCGGTGACGCAGCTGGACCTGCTCTTCGGCCTCGACAAGATGAAGGAGTCCAAGCAGGCCACGGCTGCTATCCTACCCGTCGTGGCAGAGGTTCCTCTGGACTGAGCGCCATTGTTAGGAAGACTCCACTCACCTTGTTAGTGGCTGCGCGGTCCAGCTCTGAAAGCAGACCACTAGGAAGGTGCCTTTGGAAAGGCAAGAGACAAAAATCCAGTTTTTCGGCTTGGTAGAATCCTGCAGGCCATTTTAATATTGAGCATACCCCTCATCTTCTCCACCCACCCGTACATGTGACCAGGTAGAATAAATGAGAACTGTGCAATACCGGCTGCTAGCTTAATGCATGAGAGAACTGTCAATGTCCATTTGTCTAGGAGCGCATATCAGTGATAATTAATATTTCATAGAAGGTCAAATGCCATTAAATGTTCCGAGAGTTCATCTGAAAAGGAGAAGCTGATAAAACACGTGACCTTTAGGCACAGTGGCCTTTTGAATCAGCCTTATTTTTCTAAATTGTCAGATTGAGCGCAAAAGCACCTTGAAAAGAAATGAATCGAGGAAATATTTTTCAGTTCTAGTGTTTACAGATTAGATCCAAAATTGGCTCAGTTTCCAATTCCTAGCCCTTTATCTCACCAAATTGAATGGAAAGTGTAGTGACTGAATGTTTTTAAAGATAATCTTAACATGGAGTTTGATCCATATTTTCTGTTTGTGGATTACATAACCGTTTTTTTTTTTATTGTTTAAAGAGTTACGTCTTTGTTTTTATATGGTAAATCCATACATGTAGAGTCAAATTTGAGGACCAGCATGTGGGTCGTACAACTTGTGCTCCTGAGGAGTTTTATTCTAAATAAATACGCCTGATATTGATTTTTGGTCGGACGTCGGCCACAACAAAGGGATCTAACAGTTCGGTTTCATAGCTGCCTTTGTGCAGTTGTTTAACTTGAAGTGAAAATAAAGCTAAATGCAGAATGGAAGATAATGTAATTAAGTGAAAAGTGCGCTTGGATTTTATGAAAATTAGCAAATGATGTGAACCACGGCTGAAGGCCTCAATTATTTATATTTAAGTACATGGCTGTAAAAAGGCTTAATTTCATAATAATAAATAAAATATTTGATGAGAAGCTTCAGGGGAAAAAAAAACATGAAAAGACACTGAAATGGAAACTGAAAGAGTACCTCCCACTGTCACTAAGGTAACACTGCTCTACTTACTACAGACGAATACTGTGACACTCTGCAGTGCGATGGAATTTATAGTCGTCTAATAGTTACCATTAAAAATCTTTGCGTACACAAAAATGAAAGCTCAGTAGTTGCTTCTAGTAACGATGTCTTGTCACAGGCTCTTTAAAACTGCAGTTAGCAAAACATGAGCTGCACGTTGAACAGCTGATGCTAAGTTGGCTACCTGAGCAGATAGCCTGACTAATTAATCACGTAACACATTTTCTGTACAAGACAATTCAATGTGCTTTACATAAAAATCAAAAAGCGTGAGAGTTTAAAATCACACATATTTAAGCATCATTGACAAATTAAGTTAGAAATAAAAAAAATGTAGATAAAGATTTTTCAGCTGTCGTATGCACAGCTAAAAAAAAATAAAAAAATGTTATTAGGCTGGATTTAAAAAAAAAATGTCAGAGTCTAACCCAGCCTCACTTTTTTCCGATTTCAACAAAGTACCTCATGTCTTTGAGATATTAATTAAGCAGCTAATATCAGCTGGTTATACTTCCTGTGTTACTCTGTAAAGGACCTCATGGAAGAAAAAGGTTAATAGCAGTAAGCATGTTTATTTGGAAACTACTAGTGCTTTTAAGGGTCCGTTTTTTTTATTTGCTCATGTTTATGCATCAAAAATAACTATATATAACATACATGGTATGATAAAGAAAGTAGTAGTAGAACTAGAATAGTCAATATTTTAGTAGCAGCAGGAATCGTTGCTTTTCTCTTTTAAACTTTCAGACCAAGTTGTCAGATCATTAAATATTTTTTGTTGTGGTTTTTTTTAGCCATTATTTTTTTTTTTGCCATATATATATATATATATATATATATATTTTTTTTTTTTTTTTTTGCTTTCTGTCAACTGAAGCCTTATCTTTGGCCATCTGGTTAGAGTGTGTGTAAAATGGATCTGCTGTGGGTGTCATGCAGCTGTTTTCCTCTGGCGCCCACTGAGCAAGCTGGACCCTGTTCATCATTCATCCACGCAGTGGCGCTGTAGATTCACCATCCTGTCGCCCGGGCAGCCGTTACCGACCCACTCTTACTCTGAGCAGTGTTACTGCACAACGGGAAACAAATGAGATGCCGTGTTGTCGCTCCCTTATTGGTTTATCCAGTGATGTTGAGCCATCTGTTGCTCTTCATTAAATAACCTCAGGTGACAGTTAAAGGTCAGATGGCGCCGTGTGAGCCGCTGCTGCTTGTGAAGCTTAAGTCAAATTTCTAAATGTTTTCTTTCAGTGTAATATCACTGACAAGGTCCTTGATCAGTTATCACAGACGCTCCACATCCGTCACACAGTGATCGTGTGTTAAATGTTGTATGTGTATGTATTTGATGTGAAGTATTAAATATGTTCTGTAAATTATATTTATTAAATTCTGTTGGGGGGAAAAAAATCATACTAGTTTTGTCATTTCACAATGCAACTCGTGTAATAACTTCCAATGATCGCAGTGAAACCGTAGTGTTTGATTTTTAAAGAACTGCTGTGTGAAATTTTTCGAGCGCGTTTGAATTATTTATAGTGATTTATTTTTGTTTTTTTCTCTTCTTTTAATACTATATACGGTAAGACATAAATGTGTTTGAACTTAAATAAAGGCACTAAACTGTTTAATGTTTAACCCTCCCGCGGTCTTAAGAGATGGGATCAGTTAGACGACTCAAGTTTTTTTTACTTTGTGCGCGGTCCAGCGGGGTCGCACTGACCCACTATGTGCTTTTACAAGGTTTTTTTTCCTGTGTGTATGGTTTTGGGATGGTTATGGTGTTGCCCTGTGACAGACTGGTGACCTGTCCAGGTTGTCCCCCGCCTCTCTCCCGGATCGTTAGCTGGAGATAGGCACCAGCACACCTCCCGACCCCACTAAGGGACAAGGGTGTAAAGAAAATGGATGGATAGTTTTGGGAACTGACGGTCTGATGGGATGACCTCCAACCCAACTCCCTGCTGTCCGACCGCGACATTTGCCGCGCTCCTACTGAGGGTTGAAGCTACAGCTCAGAAAATAAGTTCAATATTTTGTGTCACTCATTTTAGAAAGAAAAACTCACATTCATCTCACCTGGCATTAAATATTCCAACACTCTCTTGCAATTTTAATGAAAATGGCTTAAAAAAACAATTAATTTAGTGTCTCAGAAAATGCAGATATTATATAGGATTCATTGCGTCGGATATTTTAAAGAGAAATGTGCAGCCCTTCATAGTAAAGTATGTGCTTTTCTTTGCATTCAAGACTTGGTTGGGACGCCTTGTGCATGTATTACTGCGTCAGTAAATGAAGGGACAGGAAGGAAGAGACGCAACAAGCCGGTCAGAAGGGCCGGCTCAGTTTTGGACTATTCTCTGGACTCCTTTGAGGAGGTGGGCGAGAGGAAAACGGTAGCTAGGATAAAATCAGTTATGGTGAACTCCTCTCATCCACAGTAGGATCCTTTAGCTGCTCCGTCAGCAGCAGACTGATACACCCACAGTGTAGGAAGGAGAGACACCGCAGGTCAGTCATACCAACTGCTGTCAGACTACATAACACCTACAACCAGTAATGTAGCACCAATAACTTGCCCGCTGCTATATTTGTAGTCAAGTTTATTCATACAGCACATCTCGGCAACAAGGCAGATCAAATTGCTTTACATCATAAAAACGTCATCAATTACGAAATAACCAATAAACATTACATTTTGTCAAAGGCATCATCAAACATGTTCATCTGTGTTTCATTTACTACTAATTAAAGGAAACTAAACAGGTGGGGTGTAAGCCTTGATTTAAAGGACCTCTGTGTTTCAGCTGTTTTGCAGTTTTCTGGATGTTTGTTCTACTTATCACCACTACTAGCTCTCATCCATGTGATCATCATTGCATAGCTTCTTAAGCCATGTCTCATACATATGTTCCACTTTGTGCAATATTTTTTTATACATTTACATATACATCTTCTTTATATCTTACATTGCTGCTTATTGTGATTTTGTTTATTGTTATCACCATGTCTGTTTTTTGCTACTGTGACGTGGTTTTCCAAAATGCAGGATTAATAAAGTGGATCATTCAGTCAGTCATCTTCCTATTGACAATAGTGAGTTTGTTGACCAATCAAGCACAGCTCTTGGGTAGTTTTTGATACCTTTGGCAGTGTCAGCAGATGCCAAGTCATGCTAGAAATCGAAACTAGCATCTCCAAAAAGTTTATTATCAGAACGAAATATGAATTGCCCAAACTTTTCCTGGAGTTGAGAAAATCCCAAGCTACCACTCAAAGTGGATTCTCAGTCTTTAAAGGATCTTGGTTTCCAAAGGAAATGCAGATTTTACTTTTCTCCAAAAAGAGACTTTTGACCATGGTCCGATCTCTAATTCAGGAGTGGCTTGACTTGAGGAATGTGACTTCTGTCGGCGTTGGTTTGTGGCTCTTGATGCTCTGACTCCATCCTCACTCCACTCCTTGTGAAGCTCCTTCAAGTCCTTCACTTGATTTTGTTCAACACTCATATCGATGCTGTGGTTATCCATGTTTGCAGGTGCTACTTTTCCTTTCCTTCCATTCAATTTTCTATAAAATATGCTTGGATACAGAACTCTGAACAACCAGCTCAGGGAACTTTGTTTTGAGTTAATTAGCTGATTAAGGTGTGATACCACAAGTTTCCATTATTGAACTTTTCCTCCAATATTCTAATTTTCTAAGATACTGAAAATTGGGTTTTCGTTATCTGTGAGCCATGAACATTGAATTTACTCTGTGAGTAATGAATCTGTATAATATACGAGTTTCCTTTTCTTTTCTTTTTACTTTGCCGCAACAGAACCAATCAGCTCAACATCATAGAATCCACCATGACTTTTACCGTGTTATCAGACGATGCTTGATAACAGTGTTAGACTATCTCTGAAATAATTCGAGCTGAAGCAGAACTGGGACTGAAATGTGACGGTGACCAAGAACGTAGCAGTACTTCTACCAAGGAGTGGCTGAGAAATGACGAATGTAAAGTTCTGGGCCAAGTCAAAGTCCAGGCCTTGATCTGTCTGATGTGCTGCAGTAGGTTGTCTTTAAACAGACGGTCCTCGTTTTGATGTCAGACGTCGGATCCCGGACTTGCATCTGAACTGAACACAGCGGCAGACGTTACAGTTTTAGGCGTTTTTAATAGCTGCACATTTTTTGTGGGACTTTTCAGTTTTATTCTGCCAATAACCGATGACAACTGATCAAGGAGAAACTTGCCAACTTTGATCTCTGCCAATAACTGATGCATCTCTAAACCTGCTGCAAAACAAAATGCTCAGAAGGCTAATATCAGTTAATCTAACATCACAACTTAAAATCTGTATCATAAATGCAGTCTATATTCATCTGCATAATGCTGGTAATCCTGGTTTAACGCTTGGCCGCTTTAATCCCAGCATTAATTTTGCCTGCATGTTTTTGTAATGAGAAAGGAATGCAGCTTGTGCTACTTTCATTCATTTTTGGTGAGCAGAGGAAAGCTACTCTTTTTGGACTTTCAGGCTTCTTCTAAACTGTTTAGAAATTCTCCAGCTGCTGCCGTCGGTTTCTGCCCCCATGAGGGAGACGCATTAGTAAGCCATAGTTGGCCCTGATCAGCTCCTTTTCCGCCATTCAGCGGCTGTTTGTTGCAGCTCACTGAGTGCTTCTCGAAACGCTGTGCATGCTCAATGAGTCCACTTCTCACTTGCTGACAGCCAGACTTAAATGTGAGCTTTCTGATAGATGTCTTGCTGTGCTCATCAGTATGATGCGAAGGCATTTCCCTGCAAGTTGAATGAGGGAAAACAATCTGGCCGGGTTTATAATGATTATCACTGGTGAAAGTACCAATGATTGGGTTAATAATAGCTCATCCCGGGTTCAAGTGACTCCTGGCCACTTTCCAACATCAGGCGACTGTAGTCTGTTGATGTCGGATCCGTTGGTTCTCTTTAGATGACATCATAACCAGGTCTAAATGTTGTAATCCTGTCATTTGTATCAGAGTTTTAAAAAGACATTTAGGGTCAACTAAAGGCTAATGGATTGGAGGGATGATTGATTATCTCTAACAGACAAAACCATTGTTAAAAATCGTTTTTTCCAATTAAAAAAAATTTAATTGTTTTTAAATAAAATTCTGAAATGTGCGTTTGGTCCACAGGCCTATATGGAGGACCTGACCTTATTTTCATTTCAGAATAGATCACAAATCTTTAAAAATGATCTCCAGAAATGCTGTCCACCCAATGTGACCAAGCTTGGGCTATTTTTCAAAGACGAATGGGTTAAATAAGTGTAACTACATTTTCAGATTTTTATTTCAAAACGTTTTGAAGACCGTCATTTTTCCTGTCATTTCACAATTATTCCCTACTTTTTGTTGTTCTGTCGCCTAACATCCCAATAAAATATCCTGAAGATTGTGTCTGTAAGGAGATGAAATCTGGAACGCTACGTAGATTATGGATGCTTTATAAGACAGCTTTATTTACCTTAGTACATCTGAGCTGCAGCTGGTAATTAGAAAGTGACCAGTTGTTAAATGAAAAACAAAACAATAACGCAGTATCATCAGAAATAATCTTAGAATCGCTAAATTAGATGGATTTGAGATTGAAAAAAAAACATATTTTGCTTTCTTTACTGATCAAGCAATAAAATTTGAGAGTAGAAAATTTCCCAGCTGGAATTAAAAAAAAAAAAAAAAAAAAAAGCCCAGAGAGCATCTTTCTCATTCATAACTTATAAATATCATAGAGAAATTTTGGAACATTTACCGTTTTTCCAATTTGTGCCGAAAGTGTTTGCAAGGATTCATAGGTGGACATTTCCTCCTGCTTGATATGTACCACATAATGCATCATTCCCATCGGGGCAACACTCTGACCAAAAGCCACAGCCAAAGCTAACGGTGTGTGTGTGTGGGTGTGTGTGTCTGCATGCAGCATAAGGAGCTTGCAAAATGTAGGAGCTGTGTACTCACAAGAAGCTAAACATAAGTTGGGACTTATCGGTGCTGACCTTTTCTTCTCTGGGCTTGCTCACCAGAATGTATGATGACTGAGGAAAACTGACTTTACCTTTATCTAGTTTAGCACAAGGTCAGACTATTTACTTCATTCAATGAATTTCCAAAGAACACTGCGCTATAGAAATTGCTGCTGTTAATGAACAGATATGTGATAGTCTTGCCAAAGTGTTCAACTTTTCACTTTTTGTTACACTGCAAACACAAACTTAAATCAATTTTAGCTGGAATCTATTCAATAGGCCGACACTAAATAGTGTATAATTGTGAAATGGAAGGAAAATGATAACCATTTCTCTTGATTTTCTTAAAGCAGGCACTCGGGAAATTACACACATGGGACGCATTTTTTCATTTTTAAGCTCAGTCAGGTTTTTTTTTGTTGGTTTTTGGGTTAAACTATGAACTTTTCATTTTCAAATAATGTTTTGACCAGTGATTTCTGACATGGTTAAAGTTTCAGATGCCATTTCATGAGCTAATTCTGCTTTAAACTTCTCCCTTCTCAATCAAAAAAAACTAAACAAAAACATGTATAATTTCCCCTCCATTACACAATTATGATCTTCTTCGTGTTGGTCAAAATCCCAACAAAATGCAAATGGTACCGAGTTGCACGTGAATACATTTTCAAGACCCTGCATGTAGAATGGCTGCTGCTTGTAGATGTTTGATCTTCAGATTTTAATAAGAAAGAAGGAAAAAAAAGAACTCTGAAGTCGTTGCATAGGGATTCATTTGAGTTTTTCACTGAGTCATTGATTAGTCATTCATAAAGCTATTGATGATTAATTCATGAAAAGGGAGTGAAATTAAAGTTTCCATTGCTGCTGTTATCAATCAGTGGGGGGCCAGCTACAGGTCGGCGAACACGAGGCTCTCCCACACATCACAGCTGGCTGGAGATGTCAAAGATTTCCCACAGAGAGTAGAGCTCTCATGGATTCACTTTGTCTGTCGGTTCAGCAGCTCATAGAGCCGTTTCGATGGTTTCAACCCAATTTTTATTTATTTTTTTTTCTATAAGATGAGGGCTGCAGAGTGAGTATGATGGCTCCTCTCTGCGTCCTCTGAAAAGCTCCGCCATCGGACATCATCAACTGAGCCCGGGGGAATGACAGGCCGCTGCTATCCCTGCTGCATTTCCCAGCAGGATGTCCTGTGTAGTCGGCTGACGCTCCGGTCTTTTTTTTTTTTTTTTACAGCGGTATTGGGTAACTCACAAAGCCGCATTACATATAAGCGTCATGTTTGGATGGCAGAGGGGAGGGAGCTCCGCGGTGGCAAACAGGATGCAACTTAGTATCCCTAAATTCAAACTCTTTTTTTCTTCTTTTTTTTCTTGGTTATGGTGAAAGGGTGCAGCTCAGACCAAGGTTCGGTGTGCATCTAAAAATACCCTCCGTGTCTCTACCTGACTGCAGCCTTAGTCTTGGTTGTATAACCCTCACCTCCTATTTCAAAAGATTGTATTACTGAGTATTTCTT